AGGTGCTGAAGCGCGGCAGCATCTGGTACAGCCCCGGGTCGGTGGCGATGCTCTGCAGCGCCTCCTGCAGGCAGAGCGGCACATCGCGGGCTTGGGGACTTGGGGACATTTGGGGACATTTTGGGGACATTTAGGGGACATTTGGGGACATTTTAGGAGATTTTGGGGACATTTGGGGACATTTGGGGACATTTAGGGGACATTTTAGGGACATTTGGGGACATTTGGGGACATTTGGGGACATTTGGGGACATTTTGGGGACATTTGGGGACATTTGGGGACATTTTAGGGACATTTGGGGACATTTGGGGACATTTTGGGACATTTGGGGACATTTTAGGGACATTTGGAGACATTTTGGGAACATTTTAGGGACATTTGGGGACATTTTGGGGACATTTGGGGACATTTTAGGAGATTTTGGGGACATTTGGGGACATTTGGGGACATTTGAGGAGGTTTTGGGGACATTTGGGAATATTTTGGGGCATCTTAGGGACATTGGGGACATTTTGGGGACATTTGGGAACATTTGGGGACATTTTAGGGACATTTGGGGACATTTTAGGAGATTTTGGGGACATTTGGGAACATTTGGGGACATTTTGGGGACATTTGGAGACATTTTGGGAACATTTTAGGGACATTTTGGGAACATTTTAGGGACATTTGGAGACATTTTGGGAACATTTTAGGGACATTTGGGGACATTTTGGGGACATTTAGGGACATTTGGGGACTTTTTGGGGACATTTGGTGACACTGGCGACATTTGGGAAGATTTTGGGGCATTTTTGTGGGATTTTTGTGGGATTTTTGTGGGGCTTTTATGGGATTTTAATGGGATTTTTATGGGGTTTTTGTGGGATTTTAATGGGATTTCTGTGGGATTTCTGTGGGATTTTTATGGCATTTTTGTCGGTTCTTATGGAGTTTTTATGGGATTTTTGTGGGATTTTGGGTCCCTGGACCCTGCAGGATTTTGGGGTGATTTTGGGGTGATTTTGGGTGATTTTGGGGTGACTCACAGCCCGTTTGGCCTCGCAGGAGCCCACGCAGGCCTCGGTGATCTCCTTGTAGGGGCCAATTTGGGGCCGATTTAATGGGATTTTTATGGGATTTTAATGGGATTTTTATGGGTTCTTATGGGATTTTAATGGGAATTTTGTGGGG